CTCCTGTACCACTATCCCATCCCTTCTAGATTGTAAGCTCGAAAGAGCAGGGCCCTCGATCCCCTCATGTATCACATTGTATTGGTATTGTTCTGTCACATATTCTGTCCCCCTTTGTAATGTACAGCGCTGAGCGAACTATTGGCGCTTTATAAATACTGTGTATAATAATAATAATAGTCAAAATATTTTTCTTCATTTCGGATAGAGCAAGGAAGGGTTATAACCCCGTAACATTTTTTTTCGCCATCTGTGTCACATTTCAGAGATTTCCCTTCTCTTCCTGTCCCATAGCCAAACAAGAAGTGAGAGGAAATCAGTGCAAATTGACGGAATCCCTTGGGGACCCTATTGGAAGATTTCCCCTCTTTTACATTTCTGGGGACAACCCAAAATTTGTGGTTTTCTTTAAATTTGCTTTCAATGATAATGGTAAACAGGACACCTAAGGAGGGTGGGTCTTCTTAAAAGGGGGCACAGACCTGAATAAAGACTGACAGGGGTTCTAATTCCTCTGCATTCTATCCGAAACTAAAAAAAAAGTTTTGCCTTTAGTCATACCTTACCATTTAAAGTGCATTTAATATATTCAAGAAAATCAACCGAGTTTGCAAACATAACCTCTCAGGCATTTTCCTTTCTCCTGCTGTAATCCTGTACCATTTTACACTTTTGCCCGATGGCCTGTTTTTCCTATGTGCACATAGATAAAGCATCTGAAGGCATCTTAAAATTTAGGTATATCAAAACAAGCATCTTCAGCTACCTTCTAAATGCGGAGGCTTATATCCCCCAGTTTTTTACAGAAATAATTAAGGACAACTAGAAGGGTTCAAACCTGGTCTCTTATACATACAAGTCGAACTTTGGGCCAGGGCCGGACTGACCATTTGGAAACTTGGCACTGCCTGAGAGCCCAGGGTCAGTAGGGGGGCCCCATGAGATGCCCCTGGTACCTTTTTCATAGGCTTTTTTGAGTTTGGGCAAGGACACAGGGGCCCCATGATCCCCTATTGCCCGGGGGCCCCATGAGTTGTCAGTCCGTCCCTGTTTTGGGCTGCTTATCTTTCAGTTCTCTTTCTCATCATTCTGCAACTTTCTTCTGTTTAGATGCCAGCTGCTGTCCTAAGGGGATAGTTGGACTATCAATCTTACAGACTGGAAGCTTGAATAAATTGACCACACCAGCAGAAAGAATTCTACAATTCATTTTTATATTACAACACTTATCTTTTTTTAAAACCTTTCACATCCTTCTGTTCTCTTTTAGTATTATAGGCTTCTCCTCAGTGGAGAGGACAATCTGAAATATGGGCAGCGTTGCATGAGAAATTTTAATTCATGCATTTTTTGCTTGTGATTCAGTCAGACAAGAGGATGTTATCACAAGTAATGTTGAACATATAAAATGGTGAAGCTTTTTTCACTGACTTCCACAAAGAGGTGATTCAGAGACAGTAAGATTTTTTTGACATGATGATCTACTTTAAAAACCCCTGGCAGGGAAAGCTTGTGTGCGACATCTGTAGAAGCAGGAGACAGTTGAAGTGAAAATCAAATAGTACCTATTCCAATGGTCTTATCATAATTACATTACCTTTTACATTTCTTATGTGCATCCTCCAATTTCAACCAATAAACTACATATGGGGACAATTTACAAAAACTGGGGAAAAGAAAACTAGAGCAGTTGCACAAATCAAGGTTTCAGCTATCAAATGAAGCAAACAATCTGCTTCTGTGAGTAAAAAGGTGCCCTATAGACATTAGATGACCAGGACTTCATCTGATACATTAGAAACCTTGTCCAATTATTGTGATAATCTTGTGATGGAGATGTCTCTGTAGACCTAGACTTTAAAAAAAGCCACCCAAAGTGACTGTTTGCACATATACCTAAAGGAGGTCAGGACATGCCTCCTAGTTTGACCATTCTCTATTTTCTATAGCCAGATTAAAGCCAAACTATGCCTTGTCCATGCTGGGCACAGCAACATGTTCATTTAACTTTCCCACCTTCTCAGCTGCAAACACTCACCTTCCCTTTACTTTATGTTTGTTCTGTCCACCTGATGAGTGTCACATGTAAGCTCTATGCCATGACCAAGGGCATAGATCTGCTTCCATGAGTAAAAAGGTGCCCGATAGACAATAGATGACCAGGACTTCATCTGATACATTAGAAACCTTGTCCAATTATTGTGATAATCTTGTGATGGAGATGTCTCTGTAGACCTAGACTTTAAAAAAGCCACCCAATGTGACTGTTTGCACATAAACCTAAAGGAGGTCAGGACATGACTCCTAGTCTGACCATACTCTTCTTTCCCACCTTCCCAGCTGCAAACACTCACCTTCCCTTTACTTCATGTTTGCTCTGTCCAGCTGATGAGAGTAGCATGTAAGCTCTATGCTACGACCAATGGGCTTACAGAGGCGGAAAGACTCTCTACCTCCCTGTATGTGACAGCACTGAGCCAATCACCAAGCATCAGCACTGCCACATGGGAGGAAGTTGAGTAAGGTGCATGCTTATACATACCTGGAAATAGCTGGTTCTTCATTACTGGTGGTCAAATGGAGTGGCAGGGAAGCAAAGGGAAAGTGAGTTTGTGCTGCTAGGGAGTGGGGAAGATAAGTGAACCTGCAGGGCAAAGCACAGTTCCACTTTATGGCCAACTATATGCCAAGAGAACCAAAGGCGTAGCTTAAAGCTTGTGGGCCCTGATGCAAAAGATGACCTGGGGCCCCCCCACTACCTTTCACTATGCGCCAAGATGCTCCCAACGCGTACCAAGATATGATAGCTGTATGGTGGCTGTCTCTCTCTTCTCTCTATCCTGCTGCCGTCTGCATGTTCACACAAGGTGGGGGCAGGTAGGCCACACTCTGAGCAGTCGGGTGAAAGCGGTAGCTTTGTATGTAAAAGAGGAAGCTCAGCAGGCCCTCTAACTTCCAGTTCCACATACAAGCCCACCTGTTTCACCCAGCAGCTCACAGTGTGGCCTGCCTGCCCCCAGCTAGTATGCACATGCAGGGCTGAGCAAAGGTGGGAGGGGGGTACTGTACTGGGCTGGGTGGGGGGCTGATCAGAGAGTGTGACACTGCAGATATCTCTTTTTTTTTTTTAAACACCTTTCTTTTATACATTATTAAACAGCACCCAGTTACTTCTCTCATGACCAGGCTGCAGGGACATGGAGGTGCAGGATAAGAAAAGTAACACCCCCCTTCCTGGTAATGACACATGCCCTCCTGCCTGCTCTTGGTAATGACAGATGACTCCTCCTTCAAGAGCCCCTCACTTAAGCTAATCATAAATGACCCCCCCCTCCTCCTGTAAAGACAGATGACTTCCCCTCCTGGTAATGACACATGTCTCCCCACCAGGTAATGACAGATGACCCCCTCCTCCCACTAGGTAATGACAGATGACCCTCCCCCCATCAGGTAATGACAGATGACCTCCCATCCCCCCACCAGGTAATGACAGATACCTCCTCCCCCACCAGGTAATGACCGATACACCCTCCCCCACCAGGTAATGACTGATACACCCTTCCCCACCAGGTAATGAAAGTAATGACCCCCTTCTCCACCAGGTAATGACTGATGACCCCCCTTCTCCACCAGGTAATGACTGATGACCCCCTTCTCCACCAGGTAATGACTGATGACCCCCTTCTCCACCAGGTAATGACTGATGACCCCCTTCTCCACCAGGTAATGACTGATGACCCCTTCTCCACCAGGTAATGACTGATGACCCCTTCTCCACCAGGTAATGACTGATGACCCCCTTCTCCACCAGGTAATGACTGATGATCCCCCCCCCCCCCCCTTGGTGACAATGACCCTTCTGCTCAAACACAGGTAATGACTGATTGACCCCACAAACCGGTATCTTTTAATTGAACAAGTAAGAAGCTGACTGGCTACCATGCACAGCTACACCAGGTTCTGAGTGCAGTGGATATGGGGATGGTGTCATCCAAGGGACTGTAATTAATACCTTCTACACACTTTCTCCAATTATGGGGGAAGATTTACTTAAATCAGTTTTAATTGAACAGTAAGAAGCTGACTGGCTACCATGCACAGCTACACAGGGTTCTGAGTGCACCTGTAAATTTTTTCCCTATGACCCCCTCCCCCCTACCCAAATGAGAGGCAGACTCAATGGACCATTTGGCTATACACTGTTCAAATTTTGGTCTGCTGCTGATGAACTGGCCTAAAATTTAGTCATAGGGTGGCCCCATCAGCTGTTTTCTGCCTAATATGCCTCAACTCAAAAAAAATCGAAGGAGCTGGGTGGAAAATGTTCATCCAAACAGCAGATGCAGTCTCTATTCAGATATTTTGACAGTTGACAATGCCAGCTGTCAAAATCCAATAGTTTCAGCAACAGAATTATCCATCTGCATGTGTAACATGAATGGAGGAATCTGTTTTTTTTTTTTTCCATATAAAATCTATATGTGTATGGCCAGCTTAAAACTTTATTATACCCCAAACCAAAAAAGTATTATATTGCAGCTTACCAATTATTAGGTGTGGTGGCTGCATTAGTTTTCTTTTCTTTGGCTTTTTCCCCTCTGGTTTCACCTGGTGATCCAGCCAGTAACATACTTCCAAGTTCCTGTATTAAAGTGACCCACTCTGGATGAATGAGCTTGGGGAGCACAGCAGACAGCAGTATTGTCAGCCTGGGGGAGATGGGAGTGTTAACTGTATTAGCAGATTTGAATACAATAACAATTTGAATCCAAAATCCAACTAACATTCTATAATTACTTACAGCAAACTTTTTTTTACATGAATAAATAAAAGCTGATCATATTAAGCACCCCTGCCAGTGGTAAATGGTTTGTATCATCCATGTAAACTGATACATCTGCTGGACAGCTTAAGATTCTGAAAAATAGCAGACTTGCTGGCTGATTCACCAGATAAAAACAGAAAAAAAGCCTAAAAAAGAAAACTAATGCAGCCATCACATCTAAGAATTGGTAAGCTGCAATATAATGAATGATTGCTTTTGGGTTTAATACTGCTTTAAGAGGGGATTTCCCTTTGTTTCGTAGAGATTTCTTCTTATTTCCTGTTGTGTGTTTGACAGAAAGTAAAAGGAATTAAAAAGATGAGGTTCTAAACCCTTCCTTCTCTTCTACTCTATCCAAAAAAATAAAAAGTTTGGGCTTCACATAAACTAGTTGTTAAGCAGCTGTGCTTCCCTAATCTGATGGTCATAAATATTGGTACACACCACCAGGGGCGGACTGACCATTTAGGCACTCGGGCACTGCCCGAGGGCCCAGGGTCAGTAGGGGGGGGGGGGGGCCCATGAGATGCCCCTGGTACCTTTCATAAGCTTTTTTGGGTGTGCTTTGAGTGTGGGCGAGGACACAGGGGCCCCATGATTTCCTATTGCCCGGTGGCCCCATGAGTTGTCAGTCCGCCCCTGCACACCACTGTTGGGACCTGCAACCAGCTTCAAGGTGCCTCAGGAGAAATGTCCAGGGAGTTTTGTATGGACTGCCCCTTTCTATAGGAGGAATACTGAAACTGGCAATAGGTGTCACAGTTAAAGTGTTACTAATCCCAGGACCCTGCATTCACTATATCTGGTCTCCCACAGTACACAGAACATGGAAGTGCAATTATTTTAGTAAATATAAACTGCTAAATACATTTTCTCATCAGCAGTATATAGCAGTCTTGTGACTTCTATCAGTGTCCAGCAGAGCACTGGTAAAAGGTTGTAATGTTATTGTAGCTTAGTACTTAAAGTGTTACTAAACCCAGGACCCTGTATTCACTATATGTGGTCTCCTGGACCCTGCATTCACTATATCTGGTCTCCCTGGACCCTGCATTCACTCTATCTGTTCTCCCCGGACACTGCATTCACTCTCTCTGGTCTCCCTGGACCCTGCATTCACTATATCTGGTCTCCCACAGTACACACAACATGGAAATGCAATTATTTTAGTAAATATAACCTGCTAAATACCTCTTCTCATCAGCAGTTAGAGCAGCCTTGTGACTTCTATCAGTGTTCTCTGAGCACTGGTTAAACTAAGCTTGTAGTCGGAGTTTTCATTCTCCTCTGACTGTCCTATGAGGCTGCATAACCTCTGACCCTTTGTCTGGACAGTGCTGTTTGGCCCTGTGCCGATCACATGCACCCTCCCAAAGAAAAAAAACTCTCTTTAGCAAAACACACCAAACTGAGCATGTGCAGCTTGCCCCCAAGGCTCTGTTCTATCAGTAGATGGACTGGGGACAGTAGAAGAAGGGGAGGATCAGAGAAGTCAGGATCAAACATCCTTTTTACACAATGCAGAGGATTAACCCCTTAGGTTCCACAGGGAGTATATCAACCCTTGCTTTACTGCATATACAGACTGATTTTACTGTTGTGGGTTTAGTAACACTTTAAGTCCACAGGGACCTTCTGCCAGCACATAAGGGATTAGGACCAGACGGATCAGTAGTTTTGCCATCATTCATTTCCAACACAGTTATCCATTTTTTTGTAAGGAAATTGGTCCTCTTAACCACTCCAAGTTCAATAACTGCCAGACCTGTCTTGTATATTGGGCTGTGTATGGTCCCCCCGAACCCAGCTGGTGCGCTACCAATATTCCAGCTAGAACTAGGTAGCATGGTTGGTTTACAGCAAGCATCTCTTTCCTCTAACCATTGCCAGCACACTGTGGAAGTGAATGTTAGGTTTCTGGGTCGATGAAAACTCATTGAAAACTTTAGGCTGTGAAAATCATTGCATCTCCAAAACAATTTCGCTTTTATTGGTTCTACAAATGTTCTGACTCTCTGCCAAATAAACCTACAAGGCTCAGCAAATGTGTGGAATAGGCAGACACTTACTTCATGGAAAACCTGCTAGATGTTTCAAGAGCACCCACCACAATTGGTTTGAAAAACCTCATAGCCATTTTTTTTTTTTCTTGCTGCCTGAAACAAATAGCATTTTTGGAGATTAGAGATTTTTTTTTCCCCTCATTGTTCTTCCAGCTTGAGAAATCCCTTTGTAAACTTGCCAGGGAAACCTAAGAGAGCTTCCAGTTTCCTCCTGGCTCTGAGAAGACACAGAGGACCCCCTGGCAATAGTACTCCAAGAGTAATCATGGTAAAAGAATTTTGAAAAGTATGTGGAACTTTCCAAAAAAGAGCAAAAAAGAGTCCCCCCCCCCCCCTTCTTTTTTTTTTTCCTCTACCCTCCCTCCCTTCTTCACCACTTCCCCCCCCCCCCCCATCCCATACAGAAGCATTGCATCTATTACCCAGTGGCAGAAGTCCACCTTCCCCTGCTGTTTCGTAAGAGTTTGCGGAGTTTGGGAACAGCCCTCTATTAAGGAGCAGATTGGGGAGAGGCGCTTCCCACTTCATAGAAGACAGTGCATAAGGACGGAGCATCTTTTGGAGGCAGCAGGAGGAGACCCTGTACAGATCGCTCTCTCATCCCAGCCGCAGCTGGACCGCTCACAGGGACCACTGCAGCCGCAGGTTCGACTCCGGTCATCTCCTACCCCCAGCCTCAGCCACCCGTTCTCATTTCATTTCATTACCTGTAGGCAGATCAGCATTCCCTCCTATACCAGATTACCTTCCTCCCCTCCACTGACTCTCTATCTCCCAGGCTCAATGCTTTGTCTGCCCTCTCTTTCCTTCCCTGATTTTGTATAATCCACCAGACGCTGGCTGCTCAGATCTGTAAATGAAATCCTCATGTGTGTCGTCAGTTCTGTGAAAGAGCCCTTTAACTCTTTGGGGGTGGTTATGGGCTGTTCTGCCTATCTGGCCATGTAGGGGTTAAATGTCTGTGCAGCTCTCCATCCATGTATTACACGTAAGGTAAGATGATTAATCACTGGGAATGAATTAAAAACAAAAATGATGGCAGTTACCCTTAGCAAACGATCCAACTGTCATTCTCCATCCTTGCCCTAGGATACAGGGTGGATGGGTTGCTAGGGGCAAGAGCTTGTAGCCTCAGGATGATAAATGGTTACTGCATGGAAAATGGGCACAATGGAACACGTACTGCTAAAGGTATTGCAAAAAACCTGGCACTGATCTACTGATCTAGAGGACAATGGGTGTATCTTTGTATGTACTTGTGGTTTGGGCTTGAAATTATAACTTATTTTATTTTTGAATAATGATAATATATAGATCAGGTATAGATGTATAGCTCCAATATGTGCATAATAGGTATTAGATCTGCTTTTCATTCTATGGGGTTGATTTACTAAAAGTGGAGAGTGCAAAATCTGGTACAGCTGTGCACAGAAACCAATCAGCTTCCAGGGTTTATTGTCAAAGACTAATTGAACAAGTTGAAGTTAGAAGCTGATTGGCTAGCATACACAGCTCCACCAGATTCTGCACTCTCCCGATTTAATAAATCTCCCCTATGTGTCTGCTAAGTTAACTGCTGAGCTTATCTTTGCATTGATTGGGGTAATAAAGTACATCTGGTTATTTTTTATTAATATTTTTGACTTGAACAATATACCTTTTTTAATAATAATCATATGTGATAAAGATCGAGTATAAGAAATGAGATAGGTGGTTCATAATCTATGTATAAACTGTACAGGTCCAATATGTGTATAATCGAAGGGTGTGTATCAGGTCTGCTTTTCATTCTCTGGGTCTGCTGAGTTAAATGATGAGCTCATTTTTGCATTGATTGGAGTAGTAAAGTGTACTTTTACAGCATTATTTTTATTGGTCTTCGACTTGAACACTCTACTTTTTTTTTTAAATAAGGATCATATGTCACATAGAGCAAATGTAAGAAATGAGAGCTAGGGTAGGTAGATATAAGTGGTCTGTATATCTCCAATATGTGTATGATGTGTACTGGATCACTCCTTATGTCTGCTGAGTTAACTGATGAGCTCATCTTTTCATTGACTGGGGGTAGTAAAGTACATTTTGATTGTATTATTTTTTAATAGTATTTCTGATATGAACACTATACCTTTTTTTTGTATATGATTTTTTTTTTAATGATCCTATGTACTATAGAGCAAATAAAAGAATTGAGGTATAAGAAAGGTAGATATAAGTAGTCTGTATAGTTCTAGTAGGTATAAAATAGAAGGCTTGGTGTCAAATCTGCTTTTCATTCTCTGTGTCTGCTGAGTTAAGTGATGAGCTCATCTTTGCATTGACTGGAGTAGTAAAGCACATTTGAACTTGGGCACTATATCATTTTTTTATGATGATTATATGTACTATAGAGTGCATATAAGAAATGAAGACATAAGACAGGTATAATGGGGCTGCATAGATCCAATATGCATATGATGACTATTAGTTCATTTTTTGTGTCTGCTGAGCTAACTGTGCATTCACTGGGGTAGTAAAGTGCATTTATTAGTATTTTTAACTTTAACATCATATAAAAATATATATAATGTTCATATGTAATATAGAATGGATATAAGAAATGAGATCTAAAGTAGGTAGCTATAGGTAGGTTGTATAGTACAATATGTGTATAATCTGTATCTGCTGAGTTGACTGATGAGCTCATCTTTGCATTGACTGAGGTAGTAAAGTTCATTTATTAGTATTTCTGACTTGAACATTATGTATACGTGTATATATATAATATATATATATATATATAATATATAATATTTATAACAATGATCATATGTAATATAGCGTGGATATAAGATATGAGATCTAAAGTAGATAGTACACTATGTGCATAATCTGTATCTGCTGAATTGACTGTTGAGCTCATCTTTGCATTCACTGGGGTAGTAAAGTGCAGTTATTAGTATTTCTGAATAGAACACTATATATATATATATATATATATATATATATATGTATAAAATAATGATCATATGTAATATGGAGTGGATATAGGAGATGAGATCTAAAGTAGATAGTACAATATGTGTATAATCTATGTCTGCTGTGTTGACTGATGAGCTCATCTCTGCATTGACTGGGGTAGTAAAGTACATTCGTACCTGGTCTCATTACCTAGCTAGACTGACTCCCCCCCCCCCCGTCCCTGCAGCGGAGGTGTTAAAGCACAGAAATCATATGGAAGATAACTTTGGAAAGCTCCTATGATTTATTATAGGATCAGCAAATGTCGGGCTGTAATAAAGAGCTGACCGTCTGGAATTCCTTATGCATAGACTCATAGTCATTACACTGCAGCCAGTGCTTCTGCTGCATTTGATTGGAAATTAATGTGTAATACGTTTGCTGAAAGCTGCAATGTGTTTTTTCAGTCTCTTTCCCTAGTTTATAAAATTTTTTTTTTCTGCTAAGATTTCCATTCCAGCTGTTATGAACCCATAACGTCAGCTGAAGCTTGTATCTGCATAAATAATCACAGACACACACACACACACACACACACACACACACACACACACACACACACACACACACACACACACACACACACACACACACACACACACACACACACACACACACACACACACACACACACACACACACACACACACACACACACACACACACACACACACACACACACACACACACACACACACACACACACACACACACACACACACACACACACACACACACACACACACACACACACACACACACACACACACACACAATACTATAGTATGGTAATCCTTAATCTGGGGGCTGCAATATAAATGTTGTGCTAGGCACTTTTTTAATAATAGCCTGCTACAATGCATACAGTAGCAGGAGATTATTTACTGTTTTTTTTTTGTTTAATTTGGGTTTTATAGCAGTGTTTCAGAACCAAAGATATAATGAAACCATTCTTCTGAAAATACATTCCCTTATAAAATGTGTTAAAACAGGCAATAAACTGAAGAAAAGCTTTCTGGCAAATGTATCAATAGTAAATCCCTAAAACACCGTACTACTTCTTTTCAGCCACTAGGTGGCGAAGCAACTTAAAAGTCAATAGCCCTTGCGTTATATGATACCTGTCCTTGTTCATTCCAAAGCTGTATGAAGGAACACAAAGCATTTGAACAGAAAGCAGAAAATGGGAATAAGTCATCCATGTCAGGATTTAACACTAGTTGGATAAATTCAGTCCTTGTGTGTAGCTAACGTATGCCTTAACCCCATGACTGTATTTCCGAATTAATAAATAAATGGGTTTAATTTACTGTTAGATGTCAAGGAACATGCAGATTCAAACTTGCAGTTGATGGGCATATTTCTAAAGCAACTAATCTGACATTTAACAAACATTAAAGTGATTGTAAACCCTAACCTTGTAAAACTACCCATTCAGTTTTAAACTAGAAATGAAATGCAAACATTTGTGTACATGTATAAACAACGTCATAAAGAC